ATGATATCTCAAGTGAATCAGGCATTTGTAAGATATTCCATAATTATCAAGAAGTGTCTCAACGCCTCCTGGACGTTTATAAAGATTTTAACAAGATTTTTGAAGGTGTTATCAAGAGTCCAGAAGCTTTCTAATAATTTCCATAGTCATCAAAAGCTGTTTAAACATTTTCTGGAGAATTATAAAAAAGCCATTTAAAACTAGAACTAACACTAAAAATATACAACAATTTAACGCTGAATAAGAACTAAAAGTAGAACTAATACTACTCCTACAACTAGAAACATTCGGGTTTAGCCGTCTTAAGAGACACACGCTCTTAAGACGACTAAACCCGAATGATTTTAGTTCTAGGTTTAGTGCTAGTTTTAATGCTAGTGTTAGCTCTACTTTTAGTTGTTATTCAGCGTTAGATTATTTTATATCTCTATTGGACTAAAACTAGAACTAACACTAGACCTAGAACTAGAAAGATTCGTGTTTAGTTTCTAGTTCTAGGTTTAGTGTTAGTTCTACTCTAAAAGTAGAGCTAAGGTCTGTAGACTGACTTCTTTAGTGTCACTTCTAATTTTAGTTATAATTCAACGCCAAGTTGTTGTATATTTTTATTAATCATAAATTATAATAATACATAAAATAATAATTAAACTCTTTCTGTCATTAATAAAAGAGTGTCTTTACCGGCTAAAACGGCGGATTTATTATCGAATTCAATTGGATATTTTACTGAGGGATGCGGATATAATTTATAATTCCTCAATAATAAACAAATTCCTACTTTAGCTTGCATTACTCCAAATCGCAGACCTATAACATCAAGATTTAAATCACGATTATCTTAAAATGTGTTTAATTAACTCACCGATACAAATCCTTGGTCCCTCACCGAAAGGAATATATGAATACGGAACTATGTTGTGTTTATTTTCATCGGAAAATCGATCCGGATCGAATTTATCGGGATTAGGAAAATATTCCTCATCTCTATGTAACCCCATAACGCTTATAAACACTTTTGTACCTTTCTCAACTTCAGCACCGTTTGGAAGTTTATAATTTTGGGTACATTTCCTCGGTAAGAAATGAACTGGTGGATATTTCCTTAAAGTTTCGTTAATAACTTGATCTAAATATTTCATTTCCATGATACCATCGTAAGTGATTTTACCATCGTGTTTTTTGATAATTCGCCGAATTTCCTCGCGTAATTTATCTTGCACCTCTTGATTATGCACCAATTCGTATAGAGCAAAAGTAACGGTAGTCGAAGACGTTTCAAAACCGGCGATGAAAAAAACGAAAGCTTGAGCGGCGAGTTCTTCCAGAGTAAACGGTTTTTTGCCTTCGCTTTTTAACGTTTCTTGCATATTTATTAAGATTTGTAAGAAATCGTTGCGGGTTATCTTCTCGGTTTTTCTATAATTCAACATATCTCTTATAACCCCAATAAAAAATTCAGATACATCTTCTTGAATAAATTTTAATTTAAACAATTTCATTAACCGCGGTGAAGCTGCCGATAAAAGTCTTCTAAAAACAAATCTTAAGCTAGGCGTAAAAACTTTTCTCCCATACTTTCTAAATTGAGCATCCGGATTTTTAAAGCTATTACATTCCAAACCAAAAGCGCAAGAACCAATTACATCGGTGGTAAAACACGCGATAACCTCTTTTATATCTAAAGCCACATTTTTTTCGTTACATTTCTCTACGAAATCTTCAAGCTGTTGGCCGCAATCCAATAAAGTTTGAAACATCATCTTCATTTTACCCGAAGTAAACGTTGGGGTGAGTTTAACTCGCATATCTTTCCATTGTTTTCCATCCAAATTAAATAAATGTGCTTGTAAAGGTTCCTCTTTTGCATCGTATTCAACACCGTGGCTATGGAAACTTTGGAAATCTTTGTTCATTACGGTTTTAACAGCTTCTGGATGAACTGCTAATAAAGCCGGCTTTGCCCCCGTGTATAACCCAGCGTAATGGACCCCTTGCGATTTAAATTCTTCATAAATACCTTTCATGTGGAGTATNACGGTAGTCGAAGACGTTTCAAAACCGGCGATGAAAAAAACGAAAGCTTGAGCGGCGAGTTCTTCCAGAGTAAACGGTTTTTTGCCTTCGCTTTTTAACGTTTCTTGCATATTTATTAAGATTTGTAAGAAATCGTTGCGGGTTATCTTCTCGGTTTTTCTATAATTCAACATATCTCTTATAACCCCAATAAAAAATTCAGATACATCTTCTTGAATAAATTTTAATTTAAACAATTTCATTAACCGCGGTGAAGCTGCCGATAAAAGTCTTCTAAAAACAAATCTTAAGCTAGGCGTAAAAACTTTTCTCCCATACTTTCTAAATTGAGCATCCGGATTTTTAAAGCTATTACATTCCAAACCAAAAGCGCAAGAACCAATTACATCGGTGGTAAAACACGCGATAACCTCTTTTATATCTAAAGCTACATTTTTTTCGTTACATTTCTCTACGAAATCTTCAAGCTGTTGGCCGCAATCCAATAAAGTTTGAAACATCATCTTCATTTTACCCGAAGTAAACGTTGGGGTGAGTTTAACTCGCATATCTTTCCATTGTTTTCCATCCAAATTAAATAAATGTGCTTGTAAAGGTTCCTCTTTTGCATCGTATTCAACACCGTGGCTATGGAAACTTTGGAAATCTTTGTTCATTACGGTTTTAACAGCTTCTGGATGAACTGCTAATAAAGCCGGCTTTGCCCCCGTGTATAACCCAGCGTAATGGACCCCTTGCGATTTAAATTCTTCATAAATACCTTTCATGTGGAGTATAAATCCAGGTCCACCAAAAATTGAACCTAAATTTCCGAATGGAATGCTGGGTTTTATCGTTGGTACTCCTTTTTTTTCCCAATATTGAAATGATTTTTGGTAGTACTTGTATATTAATAGGGTTAATATAACCACGCAAATTAAAAACACAATCATTTTAAGTACAACCCGATTTCGTTTTTATCGAATGTGAATTAAAATTTGATCTCGAAAACACGGAGTTTCGATATTTATATGGGTAAAACTGTAGAGTCAACGAATAGATAAGAATGTAGTTTGTAATTATGACTTAGCACTTGCGGAGTGTTATCTTTTAAGTATTTTTGAAAATAATGTAAACAAACTGTGAGAAGTCATATTGTTTTAATACTTATAAGAGATAATATTATGGAATGATAGAAAGTTTTGAGCTTGGATCGAACTCGTGGTGCTGTGGTTTTTTGACTTGGTCATTGAACAGCGGTGACCTTGAATCCGGGGACACCTGTGATCGGGACGAATCTTTCAGACGGCCCTAAGCGCCACAGCTTCTTATTATAAAAATTCGAGCTCGCCGTAGAAGAGATACGTTTACATACCATTCCCTTAAAAGCACCGTTAATTATTACTACATGTTCCCCGACACTTATCCGAATCATTTTTAACACCAAAATCCAATCAATCTTACAACTTTGTTTTCGTGTATATCCAATTAAACTGTTAATACACACGCACAGATTCTCAGTTGTAATTTAAATTTCTAATTTTGCACTAGCGTCAGCTGTCGTTGTCGATATTCGATATTATTGACAGACAGAAATTATAATAACAATTAATATTTGTGAAATGTTGTCTGAAGATGTACGGCTAAACCCGAAACTTTCTAGTTTTAGGTCTAGTGTTCGGGTTCTAGTGTTCTAGGTCTATACCTAGAACAAGAATCATTCGGGTTTAGCCGTCTTTAGAGACATGCGGCTAAACCCGAATGATTCTAGTTCTAAGTATAATGTTAGTTTTACATACTCCCGATTTTACAATCATAGTTAAGCGTCCGATTAACTAATCGGCAGTTAAAATTTAAACTAAGTTTTACAAAAATTATGTTCTACAACGAATTATTAAACTAAATTTAAGAAACGAAGGTAGTTCTAGTAAGTGTAAAACTAGAACTAACACTAGATCTAGAACTAGAAACATTCGGGTTTAGCCGCAAGTCTTTCAAGACGGCTAAACCCGAATGATTCTAGTTCTAGGTCTTGTGTTAGTTTTATTGATAGTGCTAGTGTAAAACTAGAACTAACACTAGACCTAGAACTAAAAACATTCGTCTTCAGACGCACTGCTAAACCCGAAACTTTCTAGTTCTAAGTCTAGTGTTAGTTCTAGTTTTAATTGTTATTCACCTCTAGATTGTGGAATATTTTTATTGAAATAGTTAAAAGGTTAAATATACGTATTAGAAAAGTACGTATATTAGATTATACAGGGTGTCCCGTTAAGCGTACGGAGCGGCTGTATCTCAACAACGGTAAGGGCTAGAGGTTTGGGAAAAAAATCCTTATAAGCAAAGTGACCAAGAGAAATAGCTGGAAATTATTTTGAAGTTCGTAATTCGACCGCTAGGGGGCGT